GGAGCGGCTCCGGTGCGGTGATCCCTCCCCATTCCCGCCCGAGTTACAGCTGGATCATTAAAGAGATATGTAATTGTTCTGTTTTGTTGTTTTGTTTTTCTAAACTCTGGCTATCCCCGTTGCAAAAACGTGCCCCCTGGCCATCTCAGTCAGTGGCTCAGCTTTCCAGGCTGGAAAGCCCCAGAGTTATACTTAACCGAGCTAATTCTCGCATTATGCAGTAGAGTTGGCTAAGCCTGTCTTAAAAGGAGCCGAGTTTTGTGAGGAGGTGAGTGGCGTTGGAATACATCCTGGTACCCGAAAGCATAAAATAACCTGGCAGTTTAATGTGTGGAATGGTTCCTGGTCAGAAAGAGTGCTTTGCTCTTTGGAGTTTGATGTGTCAGGTAGTTGAAGTCTTGTTCCCACTTCAGGCCTCTGCTTTTTTTTGCTGCACGTAGGCTTTGCACACCTGTGGCCTGGCAAATGCTTCTTGATATAAAAACACCCTTGTGCTCCACCCTGAGCACCCAGAAGCACCAGGCTGGAAGGGCTGAGGTGCTTTGCAGCTGGCAGGGAACCCACAGCACCCTTGTACCTGAGGTACCCCTGCTTGGCTTTTGTAGTCACAGTGCTTGCTGCTCGGAGAACTTGGTGAGGAAACTCCTTGCAGATACACCTTTTATGGAAGGGGAAGTTGAAAGGTTTTTATCTAGTGATAGACTAGGGTTTGTTTTAGAAAGTTTGCTTTAAATTTTAATCTGAAAGTATTTTAACTGTACTTTCTGCTGTACAGTACTTGCAATTAGTTAAAAAACTAGTGGGGCTTTTTGTGCATATAGGTAAGTAAATACTTGTATCTCATAGTATGTCATATAATGAAAATTACTACAACAAACTGTTTATTTAGGATTTTTTTGCAGTGATGTTTAAACTTATATGCATGTGAGTGTTAGCGTGGTTGTAAAACCAATCCTATTTAACTTCACGTGATTTTGCCGTACTGAGAGTAGCTGCATGTATGCCTAGGAAGGCAGTATATACCTATTTGATCCTATTGCAGGTCTTTAGTTCCTTTTGCTACTGTGTAAAATAAACTTCAATGCCTCACCCTGGGTTACTTCCGTTCTAGTGCAATTCTGAAGGTGTGAACAGAATATTTTGGGAGGGAGAGGAAGAACACAGTCTTCTTTTGAGCAAAGAAGGTGTTAGGGAATGGAAAAGTGATCATCGGATTTCTAATTTTCTCCATGTTAATGGGGAGGGCTGTAACCTACAGAGTAATTTTTAGTTTGCATTTGGTTAATAGAAGGGTGCTTGTATTATAAGTATAAAAATCAGGTTTTAACATGTGGAATTTATTTTTTCCCGATGTACAGTCTTCCCTAGATATCTTTATATCAGAAGTTAAAAATTATTTAAAAGTAGAACTTCCTATAGCTCTCAGCTTCTCTGGTTTTCCTCACGTATTTGAGCTAAGTGTTTGGGTAGATTCTGCCCTTGGGTATTTGGAGTGGTACCCAGATTACTTTTCATGTCAAAATGTCTGGAAGTCTGGTGTGTTCCCCTCTGCCCTTCCATAGTAGTGCTGTTTGCAGTAGGACTCTTAAGTGCATTTTTAGGGTCTTTTCATTCTTTGGAAACGGTTTGAAACATAGCATGGCAATAAGGTGGAAATAAACTCATTGAGTGTTACAGCTCTGTCAGGCTTACCTGTATTAATATGAAAGACACGGGTTTAGTCAAGGTAATGTTGTAAGTGATTACAGAATAATGACTAAATGATGCTGAAATACATCATTAAAATTTTCGATTAAAATTCTGATAACTGATTTTATTTTTTTTCCTTAAAAATAATGATTCTAACTTAAATGATGCTAACTGCTAACTGTGAAACCGGAACGGGGTGGTTTATTCCTGACTAGCTGTTAGTATTGCATCAGGAACCTTAAGCCTTACCTGATTTTACGCACTTACTACCTTCGAGCTTTTATCCTGTTTAGCTCTTGTACTTAATTTCTATATAGATGATCTCTATATAGAAAGCGTTACACTAGTGTATGATTATGTTTGGGAAGTGTTTTGACATCCCTTTTAATCATGCCTGTTTTTTCATAATTGCACAAAAATACAAATGTTTTTACTTGAATTGTTGTTAAATGAGTCATTGAAGGGAATATGCTTCAAATTGGTTTTGTAATTGAGCAAAGAAACAATAGCAGTACTTAAAAGTAAAGCACAGAATCCCTAATTAATGAATGGGGCTTTCTCCTCCCCCTTTTTGGGGAGTGATGTTGTTTTGTTCAAATAGATTTTGGCCCTTTGTAATTCATGGTAACCCAGTTTCTCCCTAAAGATGATTTTGCTGTCAGTGATGAAGTGGATGCAGATATAACAGTTGCTGTTCTTCCAGCAAGTCATAAAAGCAGCACTACTCATCACTGTGGTGAGTGGAAGTACGGAGTCATTGTTGCAATGGAATCCCGAGAGCTCCCAGGAGTTGTTACTGGAATTGCACAACTCTGTTTTTGCATAAAGGTTTAATTTAGTTTTTTTGGTGTGTGCGCTATTTATGCTGTTCAGACACTCCTTTTCCTACAAGTGTCTTATATGTCTGTACCGCTGAGGTTAAATATATCACAATCTTTGCATATATCCTTGCTGTGCATTTAATCATTGTAATCAAATACTGGTTAAAGGGATTTTTAGAGTAACTCACTTTTGAATTGTTTTGGGATTGTAATTAGTTTAAGTAGAGGATACCTGGATAGTGAAAATATTTTAAAGAATTTGATTCCTGCATTTTCTTTTAGCCCTGGTTGTTCTTAAATACACAATTGGAAGTTGGGAATGTTACTGACCTTTTTGAGTTAGAGGGTTCTCAGTCTTCCTTCAGTAAGCCAGACTTTGAAAGAATCTTACTGTTTGCGGGGGAAGAGAGGGAGGGGAGAAAAAAGTGTTGCAAATAGCCATTAGATGGATCTTGAGTATTGTGTTACCCTGAATTCAGAATTTATAGTTAGTTATAGTTTCCTTCGTGCAGGAGAAGTTCCAAGGCTTCTCTGGAGAGTCCTTATAGTCCTAGAGAAAACTTTGGGGGTTTTTACAGACTGGTAGAGAATTATGTGCCCTATTGCCAGGCTACAAGGGTAAAAATTCAGGAGAAAAAGTTACTACGTGTACTGTGTTTTGCCTAGCTCTGTAATGCTTAGTCTGATAAAGACTGCTTTGTCAGTTGTTTAGTCCTTGCAGTATAACTTAGATTAAGTAATGTCAACATTCCAGAGACATCTAAATTTTTGCAATAGTTTCAGAAGATGATGAGTTTTGTAACTTGTGTATTTTCTTGACAGTTTACCCTTATAAACCAGAGGTAGTGTAGTGCTGTTTAGCTGCCTTTTGCTGCAGGGCCTTCTGCTAGGACTTGTGAGTCCTGCCACCTTTTCCCATTCCTATCTTCTCTCCCCCAATTCACCCCTATCCCTGTCCTGTCTTGCCCCATCCAGGTTTATTTTCACCTTGTTTGGGGCCTAATTGAGATAGTGCTGGTGACAGGAGGGAGGAAGAGAGTGGAGAGGGGGACTGCTGCAGCCTGACTTAAGCTGTAGCATCTCATCCTTAGTATATAGTTTTGTGTTGCACTAATTCCTGAGAGCAGATAGTCCTGCATCCTTCCAGTTCCTCCTGCCCACTTCTCTTTGCTCACTGCCGCCTTTCCCCTGCATCATGACTAACCACTTATTTGGTGCCCCAAGGAGGTGGTAGAGCCTGTTTTGTTGATAGACATGTGGTTTTGTTTCCCTTTGGAATGTGAATGGCCGGAGCAACTGAAAACTCTCAGTAAATGGGAATGCAGGGCAGAGGGTGGATGGGAATGGTAGTTCTTGTGGCAGCCTGCCATTAGGTGTGATTAGATCTTATATGAAACAGTTGGAGAATTCAGCCTGTGCTTATTTCTGGCTGCTAACCAAAGTTGATATAATACAGAAGTTCATTCTATGTTGAAAGAAAGCTGACTATACAGAGAATGCCTCTTAACTTGTTGCTCAGGAAAGGCATGAATATTGCAATACACAAGAGAAAAGGCATCAATTTTGTAATTGTGTAAGCATTTTAGGTCGTGGTTCTCTTGAATTGTTTGACCTCTGTTCCAAAACTCTGATTTTAGTAATAGCTATAAATATAGTATTTTGTTTTGACATAAAACGTAAGTAATATTGTAAGGACAAAATCCATTTGAGCCCATGAGGCAGCTTTTCCTTGTGGGCAAGGGTGGGGGGTGGGTGATGCTCACGAGTACAATTCACAGTGATGAAAAAGTCAATGGAGTGTGAGTTCTGTTAAGCTGGGAAAAGCATGGTGGATGCGTGCTTTTTATTTGCTGGTTCTACAGCCAATTTTTGTGTCACATCATGTTTTGTGTTACATCATGTTTTGTGTCACAACAAAAAGCCAAGATTATCAGTAGGATTTAAGTCCATAAACATGTCAATGTTTTGATAATCTGTTTTGTTTTTTCTCTTCTCTACTTTGCTCAAAAGTATGGGAGGCACAATACCACCTGCTCCAGCCAATGCCTCCACAGAGGAGACAAGAAAGGTGAGAGATGAAGAATTTATAATTAAAAAGTAACATTTAGTCTCTGCAAAAATTACTGAGCAGGAGCAGGGAAAAAATTGCTGTCAATTTTCATTCAAATGGGGTGGGTGAATCCACAAGGGTGAGTGAATGTGACAGTTCAGGCTAAAGCTTGCCCATTGCGCGTTGTAGATGACTTGTCACAGATGGCTCCCTAGTCTATTTCAAGTATTATCATGCTCCATTTCCCTAATCCTGAATGCCTGATGTTCTGTGCAATTTAATGCCAAACAAAATCTTAATGTCTTTTTTTATGTTCTCGCTGTCTTTGTATGCACCTCTTCTGTAGTCAGTGGATTAAATTATAATCTTTGCATGAGAATAAATATTAGTGAGCATGACGGGTAACAAACAGTTGAACTATCAACTTTTTAAGGCAGTATTATAGAAGAGCCTTTCATTGCTTTTTGTTCATTGTTTTAAGGGAGAGAATACATTTAGCACGTAGATATTTATAGCAGGATTTTCCCCAAGCTTAAAATTCTTTTGGAAAAGGGAGAATTTTTGTGTTGATTTAACAAAAGAGTGGATGCTGGAATTACTGGCCGGTTAGAACCATATGGAGGGATTGTGTGTATATAGTGAGTATAGTTTGTGACATTGAGTATGAAGACAAGCAGCTTATGTCTTGTGTTAAAGCAGGATGTGCTAAGTTATAGGATTCAGAGGAAATTAGTGATGTAGTTAGAAGCCGACAGGAAAATATTTGAAAAGAAAAACATTCTGTATATAAGTGACAAAGATTTCTGACCTTTGCAAATGGAAACAGTATTTTAGTCATTGACACCAGCTTATTGTTCACTGCTAAAGGACGTTGGCTTATTAGTAATAGACTGAGAGAATTTTTGATCCAGAAAATGTGGGAGGGAAGGCGGGAAGATTGGAAGGGTTGGTTAGTCATCATTGCAAAACTGATTCCTAATTGGGTATTACCTGGATTATTTGGTTTTATTATTGAATTACACAATTTGAAAGACAGGCTTTACCAATAATAGAAGTTAATGAGTCAAAATTTGGGTTCAGAATTATTTGCATGCATGATAGACTTAATCTGAGAGGAGGAAAAAGAAGATTTGTACCTTAAAAATTTAAAAATAAAACAGTCTAGCTGTAGAGCAGTATAATGCTCTGAAGATTAATTTTGGATTTTCTGATGCAGTTACTAGAATGGGAATATAAAATCAGTTAGAAATAATGTATGCTTACACATATATTTCTTTTTCAGGGTAAAGCAGAGGAACAGCCAGAGGAGCCAGTTAAACCACCTGAACCAGAAAGTGAAGAGAGTGACTTAGGTGTGGAAAATAGATTGCTTTATCACATTTCACCAATTTGAACTTGATTCTGGAAAACTTTGTTCTGTTTGTAGATGGAGCTTAATCTTGCTTTTTGTTTTTCCCTTAGAAATTGACAATGATGGAGTGATTGAACCAGACAATGATGACCCACAAGAAATGGGAGATGAAAATGTAGAGGTAAGCACACTGTTTCCTGTGGCCACAGACATGGAAAATACAGGGAGAAGTTTTGAGTTTAGTCAAGGACAGCAGCTGAGAGGGGATAAGTACTATTAATTAGGTAGCCAGCTGTTTCTTTGGCTCTTTTTCACCTAAATAAAAACTTACTGGCTTCAGAACCAAACTCTCTTCTTATTTAAGGTTAGACTCCATCAAAAAGTTCAGTGGGGAAAATCAGGTCAGGAAACACACCAAAAAATTTAGCAAAACACTCATAAAAACTAGATATGTAGAAACCTGCCATTACTCAACTTACCTTTTGAGCATTTTCTAGCTGAAAATAATGGTGGGTAATGTCTCTAAGCTGAAAGCAAAGGATTTTTGCCTTTTTTATTTTATTTTTTTAACTATCATTTCAATGCAAATTAAGAACAAGATTCTGAATTCATAAAACTGTAGCTCCCTTCTTAGGTGCTGTTGTAGCATGGTAATTATGGCCTGAACTCTACAGCTTTTGGGTTTTGTGTGTTTTTTGTTTTATTAGGTAACTGAAGAGATGATGGACCAAGCTAATGAGAAGAAGATTGAAGCGATAAATGCTCTTAGTGAAGGTGATAAATATTTTTTATAGTACATGTTCAAGGACGTTAAGTTTTGTTTTCCTCTTAAAAAAAGGAAGTAAATATCCTGGACCATTTTGAATGCTTTAAAGGGAAAGAATACTTCCTGTTGGATGCCCAAAACTTTCTAGAACATGACAGCTTCTTTAAGCTTTCAAAGCTTCCCAATGTAGCTCTAGTTTCGGGCAGGGTGGGGGATGATGAGCTACTGCAGCAACTTAATTACAAATTGATCTTTAGAGTACTTCCCTATCTATTATGGTTGGCGTCTCTAGTGGTTTGTCTTAATGCAGTGAAAAGCTGTGTAATAGAGGTGACTTCCTATTTGATTGCATACAAAGCTAAATGTACAAGTTTAACTGGAAAAAGTCTCTTCTCCCATCCAGCATTAATTTTGGAGTTTGTACTTCAGTAACATAACAAGATGGAGAAACTGATTTTTTTTTGTCAATAATATTCCTGATAAGAGGTGCCTAGGGACATCGCACCCTGTAAGACAGGTTTGGCAATTTGGACAACATTTCACTGTGTGATGATTGAATCTTTATTGGTACTCATGTTTAGGTGAACTTCAGAAGGCTGTTGACTTGTTCACAGATGCTATCAAGCTGAATCCTTGTTTGGCCATCTTGTATGCTAAGAGGGCAAGGTGAGTCATCATAAACGAGTGATTTATTTCTACCTGTTCAGTTATTTTCCTTGAAGAACCTAAATACAATGGCAACTTGAGGATGTGTGTACACCTAAACCACATGAAGAAAAGAAAAAAGCACACTTTATGGATTTTTTCTTACATGTTATTAACCAGATTTACTGAAGCAACCATATAAAGAATCTTGGTAATAAAATAAGCAGAAGAGTGATGTCCCAAAATGTATTATGGCAATATGGCTTTTAGTATGTTGAGTTACAGTAATGCTGGATAACAAACACTTGTAAAATCTGAAGCTTGTTCTGAGATTAAGATGATAATTGAAATCATGTCCTCTTTGGATGCAAAATGAATTGTGGGTCATTTGAATTCTCTCCCTGTTGTACCTGCTAAATGAATTTGTTGACTGTGGAGTAGATTTGTTTCTGTTGAATAGTCTATGTTTGAACAGGACACACCTATTTCTCAACCCAGCCAATATCCACCTTACTGCTAATTAAATATATTAGACTGCAGATAATCCATTGGGAATGCCGTCAGATTTGATGTGTAGTAGCCCTAACTTCATAATGCACAAACATTTATTTTCGTAGTTCTTGAGAAAGGCTGGACAAATATGGGTTGCAGAAGTTACCACAGATTGATTTTGTTTTCTCCTATTAAGCACACACACACTAACCATGGATGATTTTATAGTTTAGTGGATCTTTTCCGTAACAAGGTAGGGGTGTGAAGTGGGGGTGTTGTGTGTTAGGGAGACTAGGGGTTTTGTGCAGCCAGCAGCACTGGAGTGTCTCACTAGTGATGTGTAGCTTTGAGACAGTTTCCTAACATGTCCACCTGTTTCTTAGAAGAGAATGTGAGACTTTGTGCTTGCTCTGTACCAAGCTTTCATGATGAAGTTACTTACAGGCTGATAAATTGTTTCACTTCACTGACAAAAGATCGGGGTTACTTTCTGGTTTGCCTTTTTGTTCTGCCTCTCAATTTTGATGACTTATCTCCTATCTCTTTCTGTAGTTCCTGATGATGATAGCTGTTTATCCTTGTAGGCTGTATGATAACTCATACTTTCCTTCTCTTACTATTTTCAAGATTATGTAATATGACGTGCATAATGTTATTGTTCTGTTCAGATTGCTAGCTGCTGTTGCCTGCAGATGCCAGATACAGATACTATGGAACTGAACTATTCTTTGCATTTTGTATCCTTTCCTTGTGCACTAAAGTTATTCTTGCTGGCAAGGCTTGAGTCTAAACAGTGAATGCTTTTGCTTTTTGCTAATGATTCCCCTACAATGACAGGGACAGGACTAAATTTCAGTGACTTCATTATCACTGTGAAATCTTTTTGAACTCAGCTCTTCTCTCACTAGCTTGCCTGTTAGTCATACAGAATTATTTCCAGTGTAAGTTTAGTAACCTGGTATTTCAGTACGTACAATAAATGTTCTTGTTCCCACAGTGTTTTTGTGAAACTACAGAAGCCAAATGCTGCCATTAGAGATTGTGACAGAGCCATCAAGATTAATCCTGACTCGGCGCAGACATACAAATGGAGGGGGAAAGCACACAGGTAGTGAACTGCACATGTACTTGACATTCTCTTCACTTACCTGGGGTGAACAGTTTTGTTTATGCATTCTCTCCTTCTCTTGTGTCTCTGAACTGTTTTTTACCTGAGAGCAGTAAGCCAAGAAACCACTATGCTGAGTGTATGGCTTACAGGAAAGAAAGGATGATGGAGATTTATTGATGGCAACCTATGAATAGTCCTGTTGGCACTGTTGTTTTTTTCTCTTTTTTTTTTTTAACATATATTCTAATGGATTACTTCTGTTCTGGATAGCATTTTCTAATTACTTGCTAAAGATTAGGAGTTCTAGGACTGTGGGGTTTATTTGTTTGGAGTTCTTTTGTTTTCAGTTAGTTCAATTTTTATTTATTAACCTTAAACATTTCTCTGTTTCCTTTATTCTGTTATATTATAGAGCTCTTTTACACAGTAAAATGAAATTAAACTAGTCTAGTTACTAATGGAAGCATTTGTTGCAATTGAAGAGTGATATCAAGCAAACAGTATAATTAATTAAAATGAGATTAGGCCATTGTGTATCCTCCTCAGTTATGTTTAAACTTTAAAAAAAGACAATACATCAGTCAACAAAAAAAAAGTGACACTTACGGAGTGTGTGAAAGTGGAAGGAGTAAATGCTACAAGAATTTTTTTTTTAAAAAGGGGCATTTTAAACAGTGTTCAGAGTGAAGTTTATTAATGTCTGCAGTTTAAATAAAAGTCATGGAGCCTAATAGTGAGAAGGCTGGAGCATAGTTTGGCTTAACACCTCTGTCTACAAGCAGAAGTGCTTAGACTGTTTAGGAATACCATCATTTGCTTAAATTTATTACCAGAGTCTGCATCCAGTTAGCTAGGATTTTGAAGTGCTGAGTAAAGAGAGTCCACTTAAGCTTGAGATAGTGCTGTAGACTTGTACAGAATATGTGTAGTTTTGTACTGAAAGCATACCTAATGCTGCAGAATATCTTTATTAGCGTGCTTCATCTGTTTAGGGTACCTTCTCCCTGTTAGACCCTTCTTGTTTATAACAAGCAATGACACCAGCTGGTGGAGGATTTTTTTTCCTCATTGTTGCTTCAAGCAAAAGGTATTGGTAAGAACTTAAGGGTGTTAAGCAAGCAAGTATCCTCTAATGCCATTGTAGTGTGCTGATTACAGAAAATACCTGATTATTAAATGTTAAACTCCTGTAAGTCCATATAGCTGCAGGTAAAACCACTGAATGCTGCATGGTTGTAAATACTTTGAAGAACTGTAAGAGTTAAGTTTGCTTTTTCCTTCTGAATGTTGGTGTCTTCTGAATTTCAGACTGCTGGGTCACTGGGAGGAGGCTGCTCATGATCTTGCATTAGCTTGTAAACTGGATTATGATGAAGATGCTAGTGCCATGCTGAAGGAAGTGCAACCAAAAGTAAGTGGGGAGCTTATTGGAGGTCTGTCCTCTCTGTTTGACATTGCTGCCTTCACATTCTTGCATTGTCTTGTGCGAATGTGTTCATGTGTCATCTGACACTTCAGACTGAGTTATAAATATTTCTGTCTTCAGTCATTGCTGTTTATGGCTGTGTGTAGAGAAATTGAGTCTCTGGGGCTGGGCAGGTAACCAACCTATGAAATAATATATTCCTCTTAAAAACCTTGCAGAAGAATCTGAAGCAGTTAAGTTTGCCAGGCTAGATTTTAGAATCCAGACTGAAAATATGCAGAACAAGGGAACACTGATAATGGAATTTGTTTTGTTTTGGTTTTGTGTTTGTTTGTTTTGTTTGTTTGGGTTTTTTTTAAGCTATTCTGAGTTGATCAAAGTTTCATCCTAAACATATTTTACAAAGGAAGCATTCCCTGCTGTGATCTGTACTTTCATTAGTCTGCCTCGTGAGGGCAATGTAATCTCTGTAAGACTTGGGTCAGCTTTACTCAAGTGGTTGACCCCAGCGTTCTTCTAAGGAAAAACTTTTGTGTAACAAATGGAAGACTGTTGATAGCAGGCTTTTTTTCCTCATCTGCTTTGCATTTTCCTTTAAAGTGGTTGACACACCGCAGATTGCAGATGTTGCATTGTATTTGCTTTACAACGCAGGGGGGAGGTAGAGACTGCAGGGCTGACCTCTTGTAAAAAGAGACACAGGGATGCCCCAGTGTCAAACAGTCAGTTCCAGCTGTTTCCAAAACAGATCCACAGAGGTGATAGGCTGGAAACGTGTGTGAAATGTTGGTATTGTATTGTAACAGGCTCAGAAAATTGCAGAACATCGCCGAAAATATGAGCGGAAGCGTGAAGAAAAGGAAATCAAGGAAAGAATGGAAAAGGCACGGGAGGAGCATGAGAGAGCACAGAGGGTGAATACTTAAGCTTTAATATTTGTTAATAATTTGGAGAGTGACATGATTATTTTGGTTCAGTTATTTTGGTTAAAATGAATCGCAGAGAATAACTTTCCTTAGTGTTAAATACTGGAGAGTCGATTTCTGTTTCGGTTACTTGACCATTATTGGAATCTGGAGAAGAGGGCATTGTGCTGCATCTGCTTTTATTGCTTATGACAAAACTAGGCTCTGGAATCTCTACTAATCCTGTATTTCAAGAAGTCAGTTATTGTATGACTAAGCCAGAATAGTTTTCACTTAAAGTACTTATGTCTCCCAAAGTGTGAGATTTTAAATTCAGGATGATACTTTGCTTCTCTTCCTCGTTTCCTGACACTTTTTGCTTGCCTTTTTTTGTGCTATACTGATGTATTTGTTTATGTTGGGGGCGCGAGTTCTAAAAATATAAGTTGAAGAGCTAAAACAAATCATATAGTTCATATTCATTAATAACATACTAAAGTAAGAGTAGACATTGCTATTTCTTGTCAGTGGTTTTTCATATAGTGAACTGCTTTGTTCATTGGATAACCTACCTGTCTGAAACTGTCTCGGCTGTTTTTTTTCTCCTTCCTAAAACCAGTTGAGCAGTAGAAAGCAGGCTGCAGTTCCATTGCTTTGTGTGGAATGATGTGCTTTCATCTGCAGGAGGAAGAAGCAAGACGACAGGCAGGAGGAGCTCAGTTTGGTGGTTTCCCAGGTGGCTTCCCAGGTATTTTATTTTTAAGCACCAATACTTGAGGCAGAATTGACTATTGTTTCCATGTGGAGTATTATAACCACGGTTTTTATAGTATTTGTCCTCAAAACGGAGAGAAAAATATTTTATGCAGTTTAGAACTTGTCTACAAATAACTCTGAGCACTAGTGGGAAGAAGGATTGGATTCTTAAAGAGGATTATTGCTGAGCAGCAAGTAGAGAGAAGACAGAAATCAATAATGATGGATAACAGAACGAAAGGATTTAAATCTGAAAAAAAAAGAGGTGCAGTATTTGCTTGATAATATGTGCTGAAAAAACTAGTCTAAAAGTGTTTTCTAAGTCACCCAAGGTGCCTTGGGCCCATTCTGCTTAAGAACAGTAGTGTTAAAGTTGAAAATTTGAACGTTCAAGAAATCCGTGCTGATTGCAAGCTATTGTTGAACAGAATAGTTTCTCAAAGGACTTAGTGCATTCAGCTTATAGAAAAGCTGGCCTTGAACAGTTCCAAAAGAGGAGGAAAAAAAAATAAAATCAGGATTTCCACTTATTCTGGGACACGATAAATTGGGGAGAAACAATAGTTAATACCAACAGTCTTGAAGATTGAGATGTAGTTGAGGTAGGCTGTGTGCATGCTCCAGCCAGACCAGCAAACAAATAGAGACATTATATATATCCTGCTCAGCACAGCTGGGGTAGCTTTGATTAAGGATTCAAAACCAGAATTTTGCTTCAGGGATCTTTTTTCTTTGGAGGTACAGTTGTTTTTTTTAAACCTGAAGTTCCCACCAAACATGGAATGTGCCTTGGACATACCACTTCTGTTCTGCTTTTGCCCTGGGTGGTTCACCCCCGGCGTTCAGACTCCTTATGTTCCCGGGCTTAAGACCTACCTGATATAAGTTCACCACAAAAAAAATGCGTTTGTGTACAAGGTGCTAGAACACTTGTCAGAAGCCTCCTACATCAATGAAATAAGACAGAAAGAAGGTGAAGCCTCTGCTTTCCATTCAGTGGACCAGCTGTAGCCACATGGAAAACATGGCTTTAGAGGTGTGGCATAGGAACCACGTCTTGGTCTCTCTCAATGACCTTCCTGTATAGACAAATTCAGTGTTTTTCATCATGCATTCTTGTCTTGGGTTTTCAGGTGGATTTCCTGGGGCTATGCCTGGAGGCATGCCAGGAATGGCAGGTATGCCTGGTGTCAATGAAATTCTCAGTGATCCAGAAGTCCTTGCTGCCATGCAGGTGAGTTATTTGATAAAATCAAAGCTAAATGTTCTGAATGAGGGAAGAACAGTGCCTGTGAGCTGAGAAAAGGAAGAAAGATGTGACCTGGATAGCAATGGGATGCTTGCTTATTTCTATTGTGAAATTCCCCATGTATGTGGCACCAGACTGTCTGGAATCAATGTTAGCTATTTTTCAAACTGATTTGGGAACTTAATTAAGATGCCTCCCCTGCCACCCAGTACTTGCCTATGAGAGGCAAAATTATGTTTTATAGAGAGTTTTTCATCTATTTGGAGTATGTTGAATGGTCATTTTCCACATGGTATAATTCACTTGCTCCTTTTTTGAATGCCTAAACAAAAAATGATTGTTATTATTGTTGCAACAATATATTGCAATAACATTGAGATGAGAATTGCCTTTCTCTTAGGGGATTAAGTGTTTGGATTTTGCCAAAGGCAAAGTAGTATCAGAATAGTTCTGCTTCTGGCACTTTCTAAATTCATGTTTAGAAAGCTTATTTCCCCAGTGGTCTTGATTTATTGCTCAGTTAATTAATCATAGAATCATAGAATAGTTAGG